TGACGCTACGGTTACGACAAACTGAAATACAAGGTGGCGCTAAGCCTCAACAAGTGACTGCTTTCCCCCAGTGGCTCAACATGACCTTTTCAAAATGCTGTACAACCTCAGCTTAATGACTAACACACCAGTTGACATTTACCAAAGCCAGGTTGCCATTGAATACTTCAGACCAACAGCAAAATGCAAATGTTGCTTGTGTATAAGTCTGGACGCCCCGAGAGTGACAGAGGGGAAGACGTAAAGTCCAAATAACGTGACTAAATTTCTAAAAAAACTAAAATTCCTTTAATGAAGGTAAACAGTTAAAATTCCTGATAAATGTGCTGCATGATAGACTGATTTCCACACAAGGCACCAGGAACTTCCCTTTAAGTTTACTTTTATTTCGTCTTTTTTATTAGTGATGTTTTCTTTCTGCAGACTGGCCTACAACTGTGTTCTTTTGTTATTGATATTGTCTTGGTGGTTGGTTTCCGCAGTCCCACCCTGGAAGTGGAAACAGGAACCCCCCCTCAGGGACACATCTCTGCACTGATGTACAATCTTTGGTTTCTGCAGTTTTTAGTTTAACAAATTGTTTCTTACACTCAGACTCATCACTAAAGTTCACTTAAAGTTCAATATTTTTGACCTCAGCTAAAATCAAGGTTAACTTAAACTTGCAGTCGTGGTTTTGGTTTTATTTATAATACAATACACAAATGGTTTTTCTCATAGCCTCTGTGGTTTTCACTATTTGTTTGTTGTCTGGTCACTTTGTTTAATTTTATGATGTAAAAAAAATCTGCATTTTTATCATCATCTTAACGTAAAAAGTAGATATTACACCAGGGAAACAAAAACAAACAAAAAAAATCAAATGAATTCGATTTGTTTGTTCTTAATGATAAACAGATCACACCTTTCTGTGACTGTGAAAAGACCATTAAGATTGATGAGAGAGTGGTAGGCACGTCTGTAGTGTAATACATCATCTCTGCATAGACAGGACTGTCACTGGGGTGGAATTTATATCAGGGACCAGACAAGCGTTGCAGTGATGTCAACGCTGAGCCTCATCCCCCCCTTCCCGAAACTCACAGGTCTGAGGTCACACAGCCAACTGATCAAATTATAGTGCTCTGAGGGACAGACCAACATCCGCCCCACATCCCGCCAGGAGATGAATATCCTGAGAGCGTTTTATGTCTGAAAGCCAATGACCTGAATCTTTATTATTCCAGTGCACGAGGATGGCTCTTTGGAGCAACTGCCATTAGGTGAAGGGTCAATGGGTCCAAATGAAGACCATATAAATTATGTCCATTCCGTCGTACATCACTTTGGAAAAAGAGCTTTTTGTTGTAATTTATTCAATCACGACCCTAGAAAGAAAAATATTTATGGAGGAATTAATGGCATTAGCTGGACGTCCATCACAGGGTTAAAGACCTGATCTATCCTTGCAGTCTAAGCATATTACCTACGTCTAAAATCAGATAACAGAGCAGTACAGATAAGTCGACCTTTTGACCGCCTCGGTGCTGGACAATGCTCTGAGCTCTGTGGGGCTATTCAGTGTGGTCCCATAATGAACAGGTCTGCACTGATGGAGACATGATATGCCGTGATTAGCAGGACCTGAGCTGATACACGACAAGCCGGACAACGGTCGACACCGCTGTTGGAGCAGCTTCATTGTGAGAGCGACACAATGAGCAGCACATCTGTATTCAGGGCTGATTGTCAGGTTACACAATCAACTGAGGTGGGATTTGCAGAGTAGCTTCAAACGTGTTCTGCTCCAGCTGCAGGGTGAAGATACAGGCGTCTGCACGGCGCTACAACAGAACAGCTCAGCTAAGTCTGCGTAGTAAATCAGAGCTGGGTAGTTCCCCGCTCCTCACCCTGCCCTTATCACAGCACAACAGGGAGATGAGGTAAACAACCAAGAAATTAGACGGCAATAAGACGTTAAGGCTCCTCGCTACATTTTTTACAATGCCGACCTGAATAGACTGGTACAAAATGAACCCTCGTCAGTCACTTTGAAAACACCAGAAGTGCATGGTCGTGAGTTCTTCTGTAACAATGCTCCCTTCGGTGTGGATTTTTTCTTTTCCCTCCTTCTTTTGCCCCTTGATGTCAGGATGCTGACAGTCACTAAAGCCAAAGTTGTCCACCGCAGTCCAGAAACGGACGCATCTGTCCATTTATGATTCCATTTTAGGGTAAATAAAGATTCATAGAATAAGGCAACGCGTGTTATTCGCTGCTTATGAAAACAGAACATTTCGGTAAGCACAAACTTATTTAAAAATATATGCCCAATATATTTCATGCAGTTCTTCCTTTTCCTTTATATGACATCAACAAGGTGAAAAGACAAACAATTCATCTGTCATTATAAATAAATATCAAATTACGTGCCCAATCAAAATGTACGATTATCCAGTGTAGCAGCTACTAAAGAAGATAGCAGCCCAAAAAGATTTTTAAAAAAGTGTGTGTGTGTGTTGGGGGGGGGAGGGGGGGTGTTAGGAGGGCTGTAGCATCTTAGTCGTCACAACCTTGGCTTTACATGACCCCTGTGTTCAAGGTCTCCACAGCTCTCAGCTCTTGTATTTAAAGCCAGACTGAAACGCCTACACACACGATTCCACCTCCCACACATGCCTGGCTTCTTCCACCGCCTGTATCTTTGCTTTTGTCTGCACAGGACTGAGCGATCGTCTGTATTGTGGTTTGTCTTCTGCTTGGCCTTGTTGATTATGTTCAGAACTGCGTCAAATTCAGGGGTAAAGCCTCTGTGTTGTGTCTGTGGTGCATGAACAACACAAAATGATTCTTTTAAAATACAAGATTCAAGGTCGAAAAGACACTCAAAGGAGGATGATTTTGGTCTGCCCATTAAAGCAAAACAGGAACCCAACGTATGACTCCCTGTGACAACAAAACGCCTCTAGGTGTCACTGTGGCCCCGTTTCCTCAGCATTAACCTCTGAGCCAGAGCAGTAGTGAGAGCAGTCTCTGTAACGGGACACTCACGCCTCTGCTCCTACAAAGCCGAGCTGCAATGTGTGTAAAGTGTGTGTGTGCAGTTATTACTATTCAACACCACTTCTGTCTGTTACAGTCAAACCACATCAGTGCCTGGTGGCGGCAGAGCGTTGGAAATTACTGTAAATTGCAGCTCGGCTGGACTAGAACTGCATATATTATGCATCTGCGTCTGAACCTGAGGTCCAGTCTGTGGGGAGTGGCCCGGTCCTGCTGATGAATACACACAGAGAATGTCATTCAAGCTTAGTGCTGATGT